ACAGTGTTGTCAAGGGTCAGCCACGTCATAGCATGTATCAGAATGTCATTTCCCCTCGTGGCTGAATAATATTCCGCTGTATGAATGTAGCACATTTTGTTTACTGTTTATCCACAATCATCTGTCCTGGACCCCTGCACTGTTACCACCTACCTTTTGGCTACTGTGAAAAATGCTGCAGTGAACACTGGCGTACAAGCATCTGTTTGCGTGCCTGCTTTCAATTCTTTTGTGTATCTACCTAGCAGTGGAAGAACATATTCTTTTTAAAAGTGCTATTTGTTTAATTTAAACCATTATGAAAGTAGAAATCTCAGCACTTTAGTAACTTTTCTGTCTTCGTAAGGCAAAGAGACACAATTTAACTTTTTCTGGACTGTTAAGGATCATTAACCAAGAACATAAATTATTTCATAAGATTAAGTGTGACTATAACATAAAACAAAAAGCGTCCACAGGCTATCAAGCAATCAATCTCTTCATAGACATGCCTCCAGCAAAGACAGAAGAGAATTTAGGTTTATAGAGATGTATGTTTCCATGCTAATTATTTCCAAACTGTTAAAAACAATTATAATAACTTAAACAAACTGCAGCCATTTTCTAACCCGCCATTCACAGTCAGTGATAACTTACTGTGCCTGCCTCTTGCAAGTCCCTTTCTCATCTGCTTAATGTGCTGATTCTAAGCTACTGTGAGCTAAGAAATCACACAGCCATTTTGAGACAGACTGACACGGTGGAAAAAATATGAGCTGTAGACTCTGATGGCCCTGGATTTAAATTCCGGTTATGCCACTTATTTTGTGACCTTGTCAAGTCATTCAAGCTCTCTGAGCCTCAGTTTCCTTAACCTTAAAATGGGAACATTACCTATATTGAAGCTATGTGGTAAAAAGCAAATGAAAACTTAGGTAAAACATCTTGCAGAGCGCTTTCTAGTACCTGGCAATATAAGTCATCCAGCCAATGCTAATTATTATGATATAACTAACAAAGTGTGTTGAAACCACTTATAACTAACTTAAGAATAAACCGAATTTCTTACTAGGAATACATGCTTTTAATGTGTGCAATTCCTTGGCACTGTAATGGAGATCACCATGAGTCGGAATTGACTCTATGGCAACCGTTTTTGTTTTTTCTTTCTTTCTTTTTTTATAATGGAGATAAAAAATGAAGACGAATACAGTATCTAGCCCCAGAGACTTAAGAGCCTAAGGAAAGACAGACATGCAGACAGAAGCACAGCACTCTAACAGGTGCACCAGTAAAGGCAGCAGTGCTCCACATGGAGTCAAGAAAGGTTTTCCGGGAGAGGTGACATTTAAGCTAAGGGGATAAGCAGGAGTTCACCAGGCTGGGCTAGGGACTAAGGCCAGCAGACTTGGTCAAGGAGGATGAAAGGACACATGTAAAGGGCTCCAAGTCAGAAACAGCATGGCGGGTTGGGAGCAGCATGCTTGTGGAGAGGGAATTTAAGAAGGCAGGCAGGGCCCAGATCACAAATGGCCTAGTACGCCAAACCAAGGAGGAGATGGCCTTTCTAAATAAGCAATGGGGAATGACAGCAGTTGTTTAAGGGCAGTGAAGGAAGTTGGCTGAAAAGCTAACATGCTCAGACTGACATTATAGAGAGATCCCTCAGCTAAATGGGTAAAAGTTCCCCAGGAAGGGGAGGGGGATGCTACAGTCAAGGAAACACAGTGTAGGACAGAAACAATAAGCATCTAATCTAAAGTTGCAGCAATGAGCACAGAGGGTCAGGAATGGCTGAGAGACTAAGAAGGCAGTCTTGATAACACTCAGAAATCTAGGAAAACTCCCTTGTTTAAGCAAATGGTTGGGTCATGGTGTCATTAGGCAAAATGGAGACAACAGGAATAGAGTTTTTGAGAGGAAAATAGTGAGCTCAATCTGAAATTTGTCTGAAGAGGTATCCATTAGGCAGCCTGGAGCTCAGGCGAGGCCAGAATTAACGCCAGTGAAAGAAATCAACATAAGGCAGAATGGAAGATAAAGGCAAAAATAATGTCATCCAGAGAAGCATACAGATTGAAAATGGGGCTATGAATATATAGCTGCTCACAAATCCCTCTACTCTCTGGCTTTCACGTGTCTGCCAATTGGGCAAACTGAACCTCATGTAAGCGAGATGTTACTTTATAATTTGCATGCAGCTTTAAAATAAGTCTGAAAGCTTTTCACACAGCCCTGCTGGATATAGATGCCTAGGTCTCCTGAGCATTATGTCCAACTCCTTTCTTATCATCCCAGGCTGAGCACAGTGCTTGGGACCTGATAGGTGCCCAATAAACAGAGATGAATTAATGAAATGTGGTCTTTAGGTCAGCCAGAAAGCCAAAATGCAATGTTGAACGACTTTAAAAATTGTTTCAGAATCATTTTAATGAGATATGCAGCACTGCAAATTTTTCTTTATGTGCTGCTCTTTCCAATTAGAAACATCTAGTTTGGCAACTCTGAACTGACATTTCAGTTCCAGAACTCCTCCCAAAACAATAACGAATGCCCATCCATACTTCAGATACGGCAGACAAGTCAGAAACAGTAAAACAGTACAATGACTGATATTTTAAAGATCAATTTTAAAAAGGGAAAATACTAAAGCGCTTCACCTACAGGTCCATTCTTACATATTAACAAGGTGAGAGAGATCTTCACAGCGTTACTGAGCAGATAATTTTTTAAAAGACGGTCACCCTTAAGAAGGAAAACTAAACAGTTAACAAACGTTTCTTTGTGTACTTTCTTTGTACACATGTACTCAGATAAATGCACATTACATAAACTCAGAAAACAGTCAGTGACCATGAACGGGTCAACGAAAAGGGCGAATGAATGTGTGATCAGGGAAGATGGCTGCTGAGCAGAAGAAACCATCTGGTTAGGACTTGAAGGTGGCGACAAGAGGGACAAGAAGGGAACTCAGCTCGGTCAGTAAAAACTAGGGTGACTGTTTTCTGTTTTTTTTTTTTTTTTGGTTATTTTTCATTAACAAAATAAAAGATATTTTAAGAGACTCAAGTTACTCAAAAAAACTAAGAAAGGAAAAAAAGTCCAATGGCCTGATCATAGTATTACATTACAGTCAAACCTTTTTGGATAAACCAGTTCTTAAGACTTCCTTCGGCCTAATTTTAAAACTACCAGAAAATAAATTAAATTAACCCATCTTTATAGGCACATATTTTTACATAAAAGTTTTCGTGTGATTAAAGATTCTTTGTTCATAACTTCTCCGCCTGGATGAGCACCTGGGGAATGTCCTACTAGAGATCTTGGTGTTACATGCTTTCACAATAAAGCTGGAGACTGTGACAGACTGCATACTGCAGTTAAGTTTCAGTCTTGGAGACAGCAGTTGAGTTCTGGAGTTACCATTTATTATCTCTTTAACTTTAGACTCTTAAGTACTCCGCAGCTTAGTAATTCTATCTGTACAATGGGGCTAATAATAGGACTTAACCTCATCAGACTCATGTAAGGATGACAAAAAATAACCTAACAGGAAGACACAATGTAAATTGGCTTAGTTTTGTAGCTGTAAGTTCAGTTAGTACTTATCAACTCTGCATTTTAAGTACAGCAAACAGCTCAGGTTGCACCCTGACAAAACCCACCCACTTTCAGAGTACTACAGTGTCCCACCACTGACTGGTAAGTGGACCACTTGACTGAAGTGTTCCAAGTAACCTCTTCCCTTTAACCTCACATGGACCCAGCCAGTAAGTCAGGTTTCAGACTGCCACTAGCTGCGAAGGCATGGAAAAAATATACAAGGCAGTCTGTCCTAACAATCCACTGTAAATAATGACCACGCAGATAATCTGCATGCGAATCATCTAGACTGCAATGGCATTAGACAAGAGTGCCTTGCACAATCCCACAAGTTTTAAGAAGCCCTGCTTCTGCTTACTTGCTTCCTGACACAGATCTCTGAAGCAAAATACAGCAGCACATTAATGGCCACATCTTTTGAAAAATTAAAATCTACACCTCCTCTTCAAACTTTCAGAAGGTGACCAAGATGCCCCCCCGTGGTTATGTCACACAATTATACTTTTGTCGTGGAAGAGTTTTCTTTAGATTACCACCATACTAAAATCACATGTGAGTCCTCTCACAACTACAAAACGCACAGTTTTGGGGTCAAAGGCAGGCCAGCCCGGCGTTCTAGGTTTACCACTCTGCCACAATGTGGATTCAGTTCTATGTTTTGGGTTTAGGCTTTAAACATCATGATTTACCCCCTAAGGCCCCACGACTAAACTGCACCACTTATTAAACATGTAAGCATTTCGGATGGAATCAAGGAGAAGGATGGCGCAACTAAACTCAACACGCTTGTTTAAAAACTACTCAGATATCTTAAACACTCCCAGATGCTACGGGACAACCTTACCAGTGAAGCAAATACGTTTTTGTTGTGGCGGGTAGAGGAAAAAGGGCACACCCAAAGTTACGGCTCTATGATGATGTGACACCAAGTTTTAGAATTTCAACCACTCCTATTTTCGGTACTCTTTTTCTCGGTCAAAGAATACTTTAAATTCATGCCAGGCCCAAAGTTAAAACAAAACGTTCCTCTGGTCCTAATTACTAATTACAGCAATGGGCAAGTCCAAGATGGAAAATCATTCAAAGAAAGATTCAAGTAATTCTGGCGTAGAAGAGGGTCAAACTCAAACCCTCAGGGCTCAAAAGTGACTCAAAAAGCCGGTTACCACCCCTCCCCATCTCCGAGAGTCCAGGAAAGCAAGAAGGGCCAAGTTAAAACTTGCCCGACAGACTCAACACAGCAGTTACGGACACACGACGCTCACCAGAGCGTTATCTGGGTCCTTCTTTCAGTTCAGACCTTCCCTTGGCCCCCGTCCTCGCCGCCACCCCGATCCCGGCGGTCTCCCCCCGCCCCGCCGCTTCCTCAGCCTCATCTCCAGCCCGCCTCGGGGCCCTCGCCCGCTCCACTCATCTCAGCTCACCTTGGCCACATAGTCTTTCACCTCATCCAGGTCTCCGTTCTTCAGGGCCCACATGAACTCCTTGTCGCACATCACTGCAGCGGGCGGGCCGGGTACAGACGGCGGCGGCGGCAAGCGGATACTGCCGGGCAAGAGGAGACAGGGCGGCGCGGAGCCGGACAGGAAAAGAAGCGGAGGCGGGCTTGGCGGCCGGGCGGGCGAGGCACTTGGCCGCGGCGACTGTTAGGGCGGGAGGAAGAAAGTTCTTCGCAGCCACCGGGCCCAGGAGAGCAGGTTCCGCCTGCCCGAGGAACAGCAGAACGCTTACACTTCCGGTTCACTCCCCGCTAGGGCCCGCCCCCAACTTCCTCTTCCGCCCCTGTGCGCAGGCGCAGTGGCCGAGCGAGCTAGTGAGGGGGCGGGGCAGTGGGCGAGGCTGGGAAGGTAAGTGGGCGGGGTGCGAGCAAACGCGTGCAGAGTCCAAACGAAACGCAAACGTGAACTCGTTGCTGTCGAGTCCGTTACGACTCACAGCGATCCTGTAGGGCGGAGTAGAACGGCCCCATAGGGTTTCTAAGGAGCGACTGGTGGATTGGAACTGCCGACTTTTTGGTTAGCATCCGATCTCTTAACCGCTGGACCACCAGGGCTCCTTCAGAGAGTAGAGTTCATGTTTTTAATGGGGTAGGGCGTTTTTGTCCCACCATAAATGGGAAAAACTTTCTCGACACAATCATGGAGGGCATCTTGCTCACTTTCTACAAGTGTAGGAGTGTTTGAGTTCTTCCTTCCCTTCCTGTTCCCCTCCCTCCCTCCTTCATTCCTCTTTACCTCCGTCCTACCTCCTTCTTCCCTCCCCCCTCCTTCCATCATTCTTTCCTCATCCCTCTCCCCTTCCTCCTCTGCCCCTCCTGCCTTTCTTCTTCCCTCCTTCCTCCTTCCTTTTCTCCTTTCCTCCCTCTTCTCTCTTCCTTCCTTCCCCCCTCTCCGCTTCCTGCCTCTCTCCCTACGCCCTTTCTCCCTCCTTCCCTCCCTTCCACTTTTAAGCATCACCGTTGGGTTCCTAGTACCCGCCATACTCCGCTGAGCCCTGAGGATACGGTAAAACAGAATAAAGCAATTTGTGCCCTCAAGTAACCCATCAACACTTAAGAAAGCAGTGTGAACTTAGTGTGTTAATCCTTTGTGTAATGTTCTTTGGAGGGAAAACCGTGGTGCGGTGGGGAAAAGATTTTAATGCCCTCCTGACAGCAAATGATGTCCAGGGCTGGGAATTCACTTTGATGACCATAGGGCAGAGCAAACCTAACTGTGGAACAATTTGTGGTTTGGGCATTTTTTATTAGTTTGTTTCTAAGAGTTTGAAGATTCGTACCGTTCTTGTCAGGCTAGTTCTATTCTCCCTAGGGTTTGGCAGGTGACTTGTGCCTTACGACACTATAATGATTCAGACATGCACACATGGACATAGAGGTGTCCAATAAAAATTCCTACTGGGACTACTGTATCTGCAAAGTCTATTATTATTTATAACCCACTAAACACATCAAAAGGAGCCCTGGTGGTGCAGGGGTTAAAGTGATTAACTGGTATCTGAAAGGTTGAAAGGTCGGCGGGCTTCGTAGAGATTTACAGCTCTGGAAACCCTATGTGGTCTCTATGAGTCGGAATCAGGCAGTGGGTTGTTAAACAAACCAAGCTCCTTTACTACTGTTACAATACAGAGTAGGGGTGAAGAACACACACTCTGGAGTCAGATATCTTGTTTTGAATACAGCCTTTTGAATGGAGCCTTGCCTTTCCTAATTTTGCTCACCTGAAGCGAATTACTTAATTTCTCTGTGCTTCGGTTTTCCACATATGTAAAATGGAGATAATAATAGTACTCAGTGAATGTAAATAATTTTTTTCTATCATTTAAAACAGAGAAATGTTTCATATCAAAAGAAAGCCCTCCAAAGATTTAACAGCTACCTAGATTATTATTCTATTAATTTTACTTCCTGTCAGCTGAAATACAAATTCACGTAACCAATGATAATACATTTCCTGAAACAAATCTCAAGGAGGAATTCGTTAGGCAAATTCTGGAGTCCCCATCTCTTCTCTAACTCCCACTCTCACCTGTTTGATCTTTGGGTTACCCCATGCCGACAGCTCTTGATTTATATCTCCAGCCCAGCCTTCTCCTGTGTGATCCACTCCTGTATTTAACTTCTTACCTATTTGAATGTCTCAATCTTAACATGTCCAGAATAGGATCTTGTCCTCTCCTAGCCCTAGACTCTAGACCCAGTTGTCCCCTAGACTCCACTGGCTTCTTAAATGGCACCACTGACCACCCTGTCACTCAGAACAGAATCATTGGAGTCATAAATTACTCCTCCCTTTCCCTACCTTTCTCTTTTATTCAGTCTATTAGTTGTTGCTGTTGGTTGCCTTTGAGTTGATTCCAACTCATGGTGACCCCATGTGTTTCAGAGTAGAACCACTCCACAGAGTTTTCTTGCCTGTAATATTAATGGAGGCAGATCGCCAGGCCTTTTCTTCCGTGATTAGCTGCTGAGCGCAAACCACAAGTCCTTTAAAATATATCTTAAATTTGTACACTTCTTGCCATCTTTATGACTGGTCCTCCCTCCCACCCAGTCCAAGCCATCACCATCGCTTGTCTGCATTGCTAAAATAGCTTCCCAGCTGGTCTCTTCATTTTCACTCTTACCCCCTTTATTCCCTCAAGTCATTACCCACGTAATTAGAGTTACCATTATAAAACACAGATCAAAACATGTAGTTCTTGTCTTAGAACCTCTGAATGACTTCTTATTGCATTTAGGATAAAATCCTGATTATTTGCTACGGCCTTCAGGGCCCTCTGGGACCTGACCCTTGACTTTCTATCCTATCTGATGACACTCCCGTCCCATCCCCATGGCTTCTTTGGCCCCCATAGATCTAGTCTTCTGTCAGTGTCAGGAAAAACCAAGTCCTTCCACTGTAGGGCCTTTATGCTTGTTGTTTCCTCTGTCTAGCATGTTCTTCCTCAAATTGCTCACTCCTTTCTGCCTTTGAGGCCTCAATGCCAAATGTTATCTCTTTAAAGAGGTCTCCCAGCCCACCCACTTTAAATAGGCCCCCCAATTAACTGCTATCAGATAGCCTTGATTTTTTCCCTTCACGGCACTTATCACTGTTTTTATGATTTGTTTGTTTACCTGTTGTGGTAAGTATCCATGCTGTTCAACAGTTATTTTCTTTTGTTTGCCATTCTGGGCACAAGAGAGTTTGGCTTGTCCTGGCTTCCTTGTGGCCGAGTAGTGTCAGGTAACTAATTTTGGTCTGTTAGCTCAGAGTGGAGAGCCCTGGTGGCACAGTGGTTAAAGTGCTGGGGTGTGGAGTTGGCAGTTCAAACCTACCAGCTGCTCCATGGGAGAAAGATGTGGCAGTCTGCTTCCATAAAGTTTACAGCCTTGGAAACCCTATGGGGCAGTTCTACTCTGTCCTGTAGGGTCACTATGAGTCAGAATTGACTTAATGGTAGGGGGTTGTTTTTTTTTTTCCGTAGCTGTGAGTGGAAGTAGTATGAGTCACCTCCAGGCTTGCCAATTCAAGACCCTTATGAACTCTTTTTTCCCTCTGGTACAGCAACCAGCAAGGCGCCCTGGTGGCATGACGGTTAAGTGTTCTGCTGTGAACGGAAAGGTCGGTGGTTTGAACCCACCAGTGGCTCTGCAGGAGAAAAGACCTGGAGATCTGTTTCTGTAAGGATTATAGCCTGGGAAACCTTATGGGGCAGTTCTACTCTGTCCTATAGAGTCATTATGAGTTGGAATCAATCTGATGGCACACAATAACAACAGCAACATAGCAACCAGAACATTCCAGATCCTGGCTACCCAGGGGAATCTTGAGTGGTTGAGTGCATGCCATCCCATAGGGATATGTAGACTGAATGAGAAATAAACCTTTGTTTCTTTAAACCAATTAGATTTCGATGCTTATTATTGCAACAATATTGTCAATCTTGACTGAGAACAGAAGCTATTGTCAGAAGGGAGATATTACTATCACAAAACCTTACATAGATGGCATTGGCTTAGGGGTGAGGTGGTGAACAGTAAAGGAAATGATGTTAGAAGCCATGAGGTTGGTGATTCACATTCACAGGTGCAGTGCGATTAATCACTTTTGTGTGTGGCCTTTCTAGTAATGTTCTTGTAACTCCTAGGTGATTGTGTGATAGGGTAATTGTGGCTTACCAAGGGATTGGTCAGTTTTACCTTAAAAGAGAGCCAATTCCAGAGCAGAAAGGAGGAGCCCACCACCACCAAGGAAGGAAAGACCAGCAGGAGAGACCCAGCAGCAGAGACCCGGCAGCAGCAGGAGATGGCGCGTTGGGCTTCCTGGCCCACGGAGAGAGACAGCTGAGAGCCCTCGGGCAGAGACTGAGAGCCAGGGAGAGGCGTGCCAGTGAGCATGGCTGGGAAGAGGCTATTCTGATGGAAGAACTGTATCTTGAGTGTTCCTGAGCCTGAATTGTAACTTAATTCCCTAACAAACCCCATAATTATGAGTATGGTCTTTGAGTTCTGTGTGGCCATTGCACACAGAAGAGAAGCAGAGAGTGCTGTGGGAGGGACGGTTGGTGTCAGAATTGGTAGAGATGGCGGAGAGAGGAGGCATGTCTGACCGCCGCCTCATGGGAATCAGCCTCGGGATGGTTGTTGGTCTTGATTCTTCTTTACCCTTGGGAAGTCAGAGGAGGTCAAACACTGCCCCTAAGCCGTTTTTACAACAGATGTGAAATATTTGGTAAAAACAGTCTCCTGAAATAGAGTGGTAAAGCATGGAAGGCAGATAAAGTACCCAATAAACATGTAGCTGTATTGGAAGAGGATCCAAAGCAGAAAGTTGGTGGTATGTGTTGGTAACTGTTGGCTGCATGTGATTAAACACTGCAAGAAAAGTTAAGCTCAGAAGAGAATTGACTAGCTTGCAATCAAGAATGAAAGAGATTTATAGAGAATTCAGAAATCTCAAGACTTTCAGTGTTGGAATATACAAGTGGTTATCATCTTCTACTAGTAAATATCTACTAGATGAATAACAAACATTGTTTAGAACTCAGCCTTGTGGCAAGGATCAAATCAAGGATATAACTACTATTACCAGTTGCCATTGAGTTGATTCTGACTCATAGCGACCCCATGTGCATCAGAGTAGAACTGTGTTCCAAAGGGTTTTCAATGGCTAATTTTTTTGGAAGTAGGTTGCCAGGTCTTTCTTCCTCTGTGTAGACTCGAACCACCAA